AACTTGATAACCTTTACCCGTGCATATCAGTTTTTTGACAGAATAGACTGTAACAAAAATTTAGAATTAAAAAATTAGATTACATCCAATTTGGCATTTTGGTTGGTCAACTGGAAAGTAGCATTAAATAATTTTAATCGAAAATTTTGAAAATTTTGATGGCTCCTACACTAAAAACCATCTGTAGAGGGATGTGATCCGAATTTAATTTAGAAGATTATAGACTAAATTAAGATTGCAATCATACAATTTTCTTGTGGATGTTTGCATTTTTAATTAAATAGAACGGGTATTCTTTAAATATACAATAGCGATAGAAAGTTTTTTTTTGATGAAAAGTGGATTTTTGATTGGTCAAAATAATTACACGAGATGTACGTATGTTACATAACAGCGGATGCTTTTTTTTTTTTGAGATATGCAGACATAAACCTGTAAACGGTGAGACCTGTCATTTTTTGTTTATGTATCACATGTACTGTACAATGAGTCATACGAGTTGATCTTCATTTAATACAAAAAAAGTGATGAAAATATGCACAAAAGATAACTTAAAAAGGAAAAAAAAATAAATTACCAATCCAAGTTAACATTTAGTATGACAGATTAAATGCGTATTTCGCCGATTCAAGGATACTCGCGAATGTCCGGGTGATAAAATTGTAAGATTTGAAATCTCGAAAAAAGTATAAAAAGAGCAGTAAGTTCCTTTGTTTTTCTTAAAAATGATTAAAATGATGTGGAAAATAAATTTATTATCAAGATCGGTCTTTTCAAAACGAACATTATGTAGTTTCTGCGTTAAAAACGTTGGTAGACACTTAAGTTATTCAATCCACAATGATCATAAAATTATTATAAAGCAACGAACTCAAGAATATTTTAAAACGAGTCATTTATATAATAATTTCAGATCTTTAAAACAGTTCGACAATATAAAATGTAATCGTTTTCATAGTTCAGCGCAAGCCGCTGTTGTACCAATACTTCCAACAATTTTATTTACAATTCCTCTGAGCATTCCATATCTTTTATTATTAAGATTTGCAACAATGAAATATCTCTTACCTTCAACTCGTACAAAAATTTCTAGACTCTTTGCCTCTGCATTAGTTTTGGCCCCAATTACATTCCTGTCGACATTTGATACGGCTCCGAATACAAATAGATATCGATTCATGATATTATGGCCATGGGAAGAGCATAAACTAGTCCAGACATCAAAAGAAAATGTTGAAACAGTAATAGGTTCGGAAGCCTTAGTACCTCCAGATGATCCAAGAACTCTGATGTTTGAACAAGTTTGTCATCGATTATGGCAACAAGGGATTCAGTATGATGATCAAAATAATGAGATCAAAGAGCCAACCGTTTATCTTATAGACAATGATGAACTTTTGGATGGCGTGTCATATCCATGTTCTGCTATAACCTTGACAACATGTTGGTTACAATTAATATGTTATGATGAAAGCCTTCTTGCCGCAATAGTCGCACATGAAATTGCACATATTATACAAAACCATGCAAGCGAATTTTACGGAATGTCATTTATGATAAAAGTAGTGACTCAATTAGGTGAA